TTTAAAACCTTCCCTCCAGTTTCTTCTTGGTTACCATGGTTGGAATTTAAACACAGCAAAGTAATACTTGGCAGTAGTTGTATATCTGCATTATTTATTCTACAGCTGCTTCATAGCCTGTTGAGTCAAGACTGTTGCTTTATGTGCAGGTTCTGTTATTTTCTTTCATTGGTGTATGCAAAGAGGCAGAAGCCTCTGAATACTGTAGAACTACTGAATTATTACTTTGTATTAATTTGTATCCATGCTTTTTCTTCATTTAATTCAAAAAAAAAAAAAAGAAATCAATAGAGTGAACAAATGTTTTAGAACAGGAGGGCCTATCTTTTGTTGTGGCTTCCCTTATAAAACATAAACATTTCTTAATGTTGTCCTTCTGGCTTTCCTTCACAGCTCTGTTTTGTGATGTTTTGGACACCAAACGTCTCAGAGAAGATTTTAGTTGATATAATTGGAGTAGACTTTGCTTTTGCAGAGCTGTGTGTTGTCCCTTTGCGCATCTTCTCCTTCTTCCCAGTTCCAGGTAAAAACAAGAACATTAAAACTCTACAACTTCAAAACCCAGACCAACCTTCAGATGTGACTTATCTCTATCTATGAGTGACCAAATGCATACCTAGCATAAGCAACACCATTTTCAAAGCAACACTCTTGTCACTGAAGGCAGTGAATCAAAACCCTTTACATCGGTTTTCAATGTACAAAGGTTGCAGTAAGAGCTGGCTGCCATTAAACGGAGACAAATTTACCATAACTACATTTCTCATTAGCAAAAGTAAAACCTGAATCATATCTATTGCAGTTGACCAAGAACACACACACAAATGACACATGCAGACATGCATTGTTCTTCTGCCAAGATTGTCATTAACTGGTATAGCATTTAGGACCACTTGCATGGTAGGGTCATTAGCCTCCCCTGCTGCTCTCACACTGACTGGCTCTTGCAGAGACCACCAGAGTATAAACTATGCAGAATAGAAGTTAATGCTCCTCTTCAAGAAACAGGCAAATTTTGCAGAAGCAATCAAAATTATTCCCCTCAAAAATTTTAAAATATTCGTAAACAAATGCCGTAGAATGTAGTGTTTTCTGCAAGCTTGCTAGTGTAACACCACCGCCTCATAATAAAGGTAAATTCCAAATACAAGAACAGTTACATATAGGTATCTTTTTTTTTTTTTGGTAATTAGCTGTTGTACTATTTACTATACAGGAGCTTAGTGAAAGATTTTCCTTATTATTCCTGTCCAGGGAAGGGTTTTTTTTTTTTAACAAAAGAAAACAGAATAGACCTGCTAATAAATTGATATAAGACAACAGCTCTTTTCTCTGACAGGATTCTGTCTGTAACTGTTTCTTGCAAAGAACCTTGTACTAACACAACTCGGACATAGGATTTACTTCATTTCTAGGAAGGTTTCTCAGTGAGCAAACTTACCAGAAACAGATTCCATCATGGTCATTTCTGAACAGGACGCTCTACATGAAAAATCTTCATATGAGACAACCAAAATTTTAAATACTTTTTCCTCCCTTTCTCCCCTTCCCTCATGCCCTCTTTATGGACAGTGACGGTCAGAGCACACTTGACTGGTTGGCTGATGACTCTAAAGAAGACGTTTGTGCTGGCGCCCAGTTCGGTGCTGCGGATCATCGTCCTCATCGCTAGTCTCATAGTTCTGCCTTACTTGGGGTAAGTCACTCTCCTCGCCACAGAGCCAGTGATTCCATGTTTCCCATGACTGAATTGCATAAATCCACATAAAAATGTTTTATTTTCATAGCAAAGTAATTGCCATGCAATTCTGCAAGATAATGGCAATATCTGGAAAAGAATGATGTATAAATTTACGAATGTGACTTTGACCTAGGCAGGCATGATAGTGATGCCTTTTGAAAAAACAACAAACAAACAAACAAATGTCAGAGGGGCAAAACCTGTCCTAGAGGAATTGATTTGCATTCTGTTAAATGTACTGTTATGGAAGCTTGTGCAAGAATAGCTTGTTGATAAGGTCAAAGAAAATAATCTATCCTGTAGCATTCTATGCAAGTGTTTAATTTCATGTTAAATTCTGTATTCAGCTTTTCTTAATGCAGAATTTAATTCAGTATATTACCCTTACTAAATAATGAGGCACATTAAAGGATAAAAAGCCCTGTAGAATACTATTTTTCCTCTTTACAAGTACATCATGTCTTTGAAGCAAATATTTCTAAGTACTGATTAGTGGGAATATAATTATGAATCACAGAACTGTGACTACTTTTTTTCTTAATATGCTACCCACAGAGTTCATGGAGCCACCCTTGGAGTAGGGTCCCTTCTAGCTGGCTTTGTAGGAGAATCCACAATGGTTGCGATAGCAGCCTGTTATGTCTATCGGAAACAGGTAAGAAGTAGTTTCTGGGGAATCTGATGAAAGCAATTTCCCTGCTTGCTTTCAACCCTTTGGGATGAAATATAAGCAAAATATGCACTTCAAGCTCTAGTAGCTGTTCAGTTCGTGGGACCAGGCTAGAGATGACCTGAAGTAAACCTCCTGCTCCTCGAAACATGTACACCATGGATATCACGTTCTCAGCAACAAATATTTTGCACTGTAGAGCTGCTACTGTAGCAGAGCTATCACTTGCTTATGTAGACATAGCAACTACTCATTCAAGCTAAATTCTCTCTAGAACTGGTTCTGCTGAGTATGGACATATATAGAGTTGCTTTATTTTTCTTGTTATCTAAAAAAAAAATGTAGCAAAACAAGATAGTCTCTTCCAGCAGTGGAAGCCAAAAACTTATAAATCTTTAAACAGGGAGGATTTTTCATAGGCATGCTTCTGTCTAGCTCACTGGCTCCTGTCCCGTATATGCAAAGCAATGGTGGTATATGGATTTCAAAGCATATTTCACTAAATCAAGTCACACATACAATAAATGCTGGCTTGACCAATGGGTATATCTCAATAGTCTTTTTACCTGCAAGTTGGCTCATTCCAGGTGTGTGTTCAGGCCACTATACAAGGTAGCAGGTGCAATTACAAAAAGAAACAGCATGGAACATAGCTCAGTCCATCTAGGTCATTCCAGCAAAACCCCGTGGATGGGATTACAGTATATAATCTATGTACTACCTCTTTTTTTTTAATTAGACTTCTTACTAAAAATGAAGCAAAGATGCCTACTGCATCTGTTTTTTATCAAAATAGTCAGAAAAATGCCTAAAAGCCTCATTTTGAAACAAAACTAACTTTAAAATGTATTAACAGTGCAGGCAGATCATTATCACACTTGATAAAACTAGAAATATGCATAAGAAATGGAAAACTGATTTCTCTCACTTTTCATTTTGTCATGTTTTTCATAAGCAGGACCGAATAAAATCTGTAGACTCTGAAATGGCTATTCTTGGCCCATGTTTTCACAAGGTATATCTGTTTAGACTAACCTCCTTGCTGTTTGCATGTTACAACTGTAGCTCCTGGAGTACTTTGGGCATCTGGAGCTTAGGGGTTTTTTTGCAGTGGTGACTGCAAGTAGCAGTAGTAACAACTAATTTATTCCCTCAGCAGAATTAGCATGTAACTGACACCAGCTCCTCAACAACCAGGGCGATACTGACAGAGCCAACCAGCAGCTCTGCACATCAGCTTGTTTTCACATAAAGCAGCATTAAGTGGACACCATTTGAGAGCTGCACATCAAATATTGTGTAGACGCTGCTCAAATTCTGACTCTCTGATATGCTCAACTCAGCTGAATCAATAATACCCGTGGGTTATTGGGTTTTTTGTCAGGTTTACAAGTGTTTTCTGTAAGACGAGTCAGCCTGCTGAGAAATGGGTAATAAGGAACAGATGCTCCAACTTGTTTTGTAGTGGGGCTGAATGCTTCTTAGCTTTTACTAATCCAGGACATCCTGAATGAATCATAGGCCTCTTGAATGCCCTGCCACTCCTGCTAGCCAAGAATAGACTCTAATGTTCCTTGGCCTTGGTGGGATGTGGGCCCACAGTGCATCAGTGACACCAGGAAAAGCCAGTAGGCTCACATCTTGCAAAATTCCTGGAGTTGACATTTGAAAAATTAGGATACCATCTCACTCTCTCCCTACAGCAACTTATCTCCTCTAATACTTTTTTGCTTCTTTTTTTTTAGCAAACAGTCTGTGATATTAAAGGTTCCAGATGCTTTCTTCCTTCCAGCCATGCTGAAGTCTGTCTTGGATGTTAGTTAGCATTTTTTTTAAAAAAAAAAGAGGAGTTTCTATTAGTGCATTTATGTTAGAAAGGAGAAGGCTAAGCCCCAGGAAGGTTATGGAAATTGATTAACTCACAAGTCATGAATGTGACACAAATATTCTAGCTCTTAATAACTTACTCTCCAAAAACATAGCCCCACCTGGCTCCTCGCAGTGCCCAGGGTTTGCAGAACTGTGCTCATCCAGATTCCTATGCTTATGAGTGCTTGTTTCAATCTAGAAAAAGAAGCGGAATGAGAATGAAGCAGCTACAGAAGGTGAAGACTCTGCTATGACTGACATGCCTCACCCAGAGGAAATGACGGACATCGTAGAAATGCGAGAAGAGAATGAATAGCAGCTGGGAGGCCGTTGTTCTCTGCAGGGACAATTGGAATGACACTTCAACATCTTGTCTTCTCTCATACTTTTTTTTTTTGGTTGTTTTTATTTTTGTAATAAAGAGGCCTTGATTTAAAAGGTTTCAGATAAATTCTCTAGCATACTGAGTATGCTCACACTGATGAGGGGCCTAAAAAGAGGTCTTTGCTTTTTTTCTTTTTCAATTGAATTAGTGTCTCTCATGCCGTGCAAACATAAACGATACAACTGCATCACTGTAGCGTCTTCCTTACGCATTCACCTTCTCTGGACAATCTGCAGTCGTCAACCAAAGCCCTGCTCTGTGTGTACCTGCGTGTGCGTGCACACGCCACTGACTACTCAGTGCTTCTGCCATAAGCCTGTTCCCTCCCCTCTTTCCTTTTCTTTCTTTTTTTTTTTTTTTTGAATGAGAAATGTTAAAGACAAGAAGCTTGGAAAACACAGCTTTATTTTACTCGCTTGAAAATGACTTTGCTACGTAACTTAATGTACTGCGGTGTTCTATATCATTTTGTTTGGCCTCGTCATCAAGGCTTATACTGTACAGGGTGTAGAAGAGGGAGGAATATGTATGTCTCCATGTGAAAAGTGAAGAAATACAGATTCTTCCCCCCTGTAAAAAAAAGGTGTGTGCATGTATGTACACACATATACATATATATATTTATATTATATTTATATATATATATGTATACAATAAAATACACACAGGACAAGAACTCTATTTAACTCATTCCAGCTAGGAAACATTTGAAAAATTGTAAGCATTTATTTCAGAGTTTTCTTGACTGGCTAGTCTCCACCTTAGGCATCTTTTTCTTTGGAAGAAAAGAGTGCACTTTCCTCTTGTGAGGAGGGTGACGGCAACCAGTAGAATAGTTTGGCTGTATTTGAATTAAAAAAAGAATTGACAACTTTACCAAAGTTCTTGTCCACTAGTTTAATTTAACTTTAGTTTTTAAAGAATAATTTGCTCAATACTTACTTCTGCTGCCTATGTATCAAGAGGAAAAAGTCTTTAGCGGGACACCATGTTATGGCACATTAGTATAGGTAGGTCCATGAAGTTTTTTACGCACACGCACACAAACCCATATATCCATATATGTATGTTTTGCTATTTTTCCCAATGCAGAAGATCAAAATCCCTACGATGAATCCCCAGGACTGATGGTCATCCAAGTCCTAAATTGGGGTCCTTGAGCATAAGGTAGCACTCAGAGCAGTTTCATGGGTGTTTAAGCACTGCTCGCATCAGCAAGAGCTGTACTTTGAGGACAAGACAGGTACTTTGTGGTTTAAGTGGGCTTTAAGTAATGGAATATAGGTTTGTAAGGGTGATTGGTATCGGCTGAAGTGCAGACTATATAAGAAGTTATTAAACCAGAAATGGCTTGGGTGCCACTAGAGATGGCTGCAACAGCAGCTTGCATTTCTGTGATGTTCGGTGTTCGGCTGCGGGGCAGCGTTTACGTTACCAATTTGTAGCAGGCTGGGTTCTGGTAGATGTAGATGTGCCAGAGTCTGGGAGTCGTTATTCTTCACGGTATATGCAGAAATCAGTTAATTTAAACCTTATTTAGTGAAAATCTATTTTTCTAAGTTTTGGAAATGATTATTTAAATGTGAACAAAATCATTTTCTAGATTATTTACCACGTAGACCCAACAACTCAGAAAAACTGATTAAAACTAAACATTACTTTAAATGTTTTATCAATATATGTGTGTATATACATACACATGTGTATAAATATATATACTGTATATTATGTACATTTATTTTAAGCTACAGTACATTTCCTATTTTTCCAAGTTCAGCTAAAAATGTCTCTAAAACACTACAAAGTTGGTTAACAACCAGTTATGGCTAATAATGAAAGGCATTGTATCAATGAATGTTATGTTTTATTTTACGCATTTGTACCAATTTGTTACATGTACATAGACAGTAAGAAATTACTTAGAAATGATTGAGTCGAATGACAGATTTGGAAAAATAAGTGCACTATCAGTGTGCAGTGGCACTAGAAAGGTAAATCTCAATCCAGTAATCCATGTTTTCTGTGCCACAACAGGGTTGTATTCAGTATCCCAGTACAACGTAAAATACACACACACACAAAATCTCTCACACAAATTATTTGAGTGAGTATGCAGACTGTACACATCTGCATTCATGAATACGGACTCTCAAACAGTCATGTATATAAGCTGTATATAGACTGTTACAGGTCATAATGGCCATTTAAGGTCTTCTCTATCGATGTACTTGCGTTTTCTCCAGTACATTTGTATCCAAGCCCACAACACACTGTTTTTCAGGAACTGTAGAGATAAAGCAAGAAAATATTTTTGTGTAATATTTCTTTTGGTACATGACTAAAATTTAAGCAGCAGTATTTTGGAAAAGTTTTGAGCATTACCCATGCAGGTTTCAAGGAAAGAATTGCACCCAAAAGTACAAACTTGAAAACCATTTAAATGTAACACTAGAGCTTTTGCTTTAGCTAGAAGACTCAATGCATATCCAAAAAACAGAATTATTGGTTATATGGTAAACTAGTAGCATTGTAAAAATTAAAATTTCAGTTGCGTGGACAATACTTCATATTTCTTTATACATTTACTTTGCAAAATAACGAATGGAGTGGTAGGACGTGGGCAAGAATTCAAGCAGTTACATAAAACACATGCATAACATTTCCTTTCTAATCCTCTTTCCTGTGTGTTGCGTATTTCTTTACATTTCTGTGTTGGTTTAACAAAATACATTGACATTTCTGCAATGAGCAAGTCCAGATCAGAAGTGGATACTTATTCAGTAATCTTGATTTGAAGGCACGTCCACAAAGAGCACCACGGACCCCAGCAGCTTCTGCTTGTGGATAATATTTTCCAGAATTTCAGTGCGCACCTGAAACCTGATTGTCCTGACTCACCTTTGGTGGTGAAATCAGCTGGGCTGGAGAAGGTTAGAGAAGGTTGTAGCTTGCAGCGTTTTAGAGGGGGACATCCAGGTTTCTGTGATGGACAGTGAAGGGCACATTGCTTCTTCCCTCAGCAGAAGCTGTGGCCAAACAGGTCAGAAGGTTGTGAGTCCAAGCGCCTCTGTCTGCCAGGTCCACCTGGATGCGCCATCCTGTGTCACTTCCTTCCCAAAGGACCTTCTTGATTTCTGGTAAAATGGCTTAGCTGTCTCTTTTGTGTTACTGCTTATGGAATGGTGAAAATTTTTGAATAGAAACCTGTTGTTTCCACCTTTGTGGAGAGGTTTAGCCTTTTTCAGGCACTTTTAGAAAACTGCTGAATTATACAAATGAAGTTACAATAAAAGGAGGAACAAAGTTGCTTTGTATCCTACATGATAAATTTTAGAGTACAGGAGAACCTACCACACAGAAGGAAATGAAAGAACACCAACCAACAGTGGATTAACATATACCTAGAAATGCGCTAATTTGTCTTGAGTTTTCCTTTTGCAGACTTACGGATATTGAGGGAACATCTCCATTTATATTTTGTGGGCTGCCCTAACCAGGCCTCTCGTACTTACCAAGCAGTGGAGTTGATGAAAAAGACGTTTTCCAGCCAGTCTTTGAGACTGTTTAGGCATCTCCGCAGCTTCCCAGGCATCGCCCAGCGCTCCCTCTTACCTCTTGCACAGATGCTCGAGGTGAGCATCCCAGATATCTGGTTGTTAGATAGAGCCACCCTAAGCAAGAGCACTGGGTGAGTAATGGAGAAGTCTTCTGTTTTCCACTCATTTTGCTGTTCCATATTTCCTTTGAATCAGAGAGATTTATATCTACCTCGTGTTCTGTTTTTTTGCTGAATTACTGCATCAGTTTACAGGCACCAATCAGCCTCGAACAGAGCGTGGGATGATAAACAAAGGGCAGTCAGGACAGGTCACAGTACGCGAGGAGAAAACATTTGACAAAAAGAATTTAGTCTTTTGGGGGATTGCGCCTCATCTCCTAAGGGCTGGCCAAAGGGTTCCTTCAGCTCCTGGCTTTCAGAGGCATCAAGCATCATCCTGTGTTAGGCTGCAAGGTGTAACTTAGCTGCTGAGCAGCAGCAGGACAGCTGGGGCACACTGCTGGCACAGGAGTCTACCCTAAGGATGCTGCACAGGGCAAGGAAAGGACACCTATATATTAGAAATGTACTATATATTAGATGTATGTACATGTACATACATATTTATACACACATATGTATGTGTGCAATTTTGCACATGCATTTTTCATTACTGCCCACATACGGTTTGTTGGAACAACAATCTAAGCATGAACACAATCTTGATGTGCAGCTAATGCTAAGCTCTTTTAAAAAAAAACGCAGTTTAATGCTGTATAAAAGAGTAAATTAAGTGACCTTTCAGCAGACATTGTGTCAGCAAGATTAAAGTATGATTTAGAACAATGAGTTGAATGGGAAGAAATGGAGAACGATAGGAAAGTTTATGGATATTGTATATCCAACCTAAAGAAAACAGCATCACATGGAGATCTATAAAATAACAGAAAATATCAGAATGATGATTACTGCTATTTTCCTTTAATTGCACCAGAGAGATGCTGAAGGACAATGTGCACATCAGATGTGGCTTTTAAGTATTTTGATTTCTGAGAGGAGGCAGCAATTTTAAGAAATGAGCATGAAAACACTTCAGAATATTCAAACAGAAATAAACCAATATGCAGGTTTTATAACATGCAAATAAGAGGCATTGCAGAGCTTACTGTTTCTAAGTAACTGTCAGTACTGCACTGAGGAAGCGTCACATGAAAATTAGTTAGACAAAGACAAAAATATCACAATTTTGGTATCAGATTGACATTTCCCAACATAAAGCATTATTATCCATTTCCTGTCTCTATGTTTGTTTTTCTAATAGAATTCCAGTGCAGAATTACACATACTTAAAGCAGAGTAAATTCCAGTTAAGTAGTTTGTAATTCCAGTTAAGTAGTAAGTAAGTTTGCGGTAATCTACTGAATTCAAGATGAGTTCCAAGTTTATTGTGAGTTTTGTAAGGCAATTTCCTTGATTGCCGGCTGATAGAGGGCCATGAAAGATGGTAGCA